CTTCTGCATTTGTAATTACACATTTAATGTTGATATCTGAACAACTTGTATCGCCAATCATTTTTTTGTGATCTTTTTCATGTGGAAATTTTCATTAGGGTAGTCTCTCCAAATTCAGCAATTTTTATCTTTTAAGCATTCTTGAAATGGGAGTGCCCATCTACAAGATGCCATGTTGCATTTCTATCACATGGCGCAGTATTAAGGACAACTAATTAATTAATAACGTAAAAGTAAAAAAAGACAATTCTGAAGATTAGATTGAGCCCGATTCCCAATAGTGATGTACTAAAAAAAATCAGTGATGTTCCCCGTGCACTTGTTAGGTATGTGTTGTGCGTGGTGGTGCTGTGCACTTTTTGTGCGGAGTGGTGCATCTGCCGTGCAACCGTCGTGCGGCTGTTGTGCATTTGCTGTGCGCCGGGAATGCGGTGCACCCGTCGTGCGGGTGTTATGCACAGGGGCGGAGTCGCCATTGATCCAAAGTGTTCACATGAACACTCAAATTTTTGAAAAATATGCAAGTATACACCTATAAATTTAATGTAATTATTTAGTGTTCTTTAAAGTTTTAAATATAAAAAATACTGAACACCCAAAATGAAAAATCAAAATCTGCCACTGGTCGTGCATTTGCTGTGCACCGGGCACGCGGTGCACCCGTTGTGCAGGTATTGTGCATCTGTTGTGCGCCCTTCATGCTAGTGTTGTGCACCTGTCGTGCGTCTGGTGCATATGTTTTATAAAAAATTATAATACAAAATGTAAAATAAATCAATCACTGCCCGGCTCTGCCCACTAATGGCGGTTGGGACTATAGGCTGGCGGCGGTCGTCAATTAGTGATGGTTAGAAGTGTATGCAATTTATTTTATACGGAGTAACTATTACGGAGTACTTGATATTTGAAAAGTGAACATTATTTGCATTAAATTAAAAGAATAAATGTAATTGAGCAAATTAGAGAGTAATAAATGTGGAGTAAGTCTTGACCTATTATGAATGAGGGTGTACGAGGGATGGACTGGGACGGGTCGACCTGACCCGACCTGGTACTGTGCAGGCCCAAGCCGTCTCGATCGAGCGGTACTGGGACTAGGCCCCTTGCACCGGCTGTTTATGGACGGGCTATGGGCCCTGATTTTAGTGGACTTGCCTGGGCCAATTTTTTTTAATTTTTTTAACATTGGACTGCTGCTAGGTGGGTTGGGTTGGGTGTTTTGGCGGGGTTTGGGGGTGGGGTAGGAATAAATTTGAAAAGACTAATTAAAAAAATGACCCGACCCGGGCCCGTCGCGGTTCAAACCTGGGCCGGTACCGGGCCTTCATCGTGTAAGCATTTGTGTCATCAATCTTCTGTCCTTTCGAGGACATCCGATAAAAAAATTGTGTCATCAATCTTCTACATTGGTTCACATGCTGATATACATAATGTTTTCTCTTATAAATTATAATACTCCTCCATCCTTAAATTAAAGTCACACTTTCCTTAAATAGATGTTCCAAAATAAAAGCCACAATTCCCATTTTGATAAGTTTCAACATTTAATTTACCTTCCTATCTCTTTCCCATTAATTATCCCATCCCATCCATCTTTTTTTTTTTACTCCAAGGGGTCTGGGGGAGGGGGCTGGGGGGAGCCTAGAGTAATTAGGGCTGAAACTCACTCCATTGAGTTTCCAACCCTTGTGTGCCTAACGAGATTCGAACTCAAGATCTCCCACTAGGCACAGTAACCTCACAACCAGCTGGGTTGGAATGCTTGGTTCCTATCCCATCCATCTTCCCAACCAACTGCGCCATTTAATTTACCCATTGATATTCTCAACCACATACTTCCTCCCCATTCACTATCTTCTTCACCTCTATCCTCTGCATACTCTCTTTGTCCTCTCCGTCTTTAACCACCAGTCTATTGTTACCCATCCACTGCGTCTCTTCTGTATACCCCTTCGCCCTTGTCTCAGTTGTCTACCAAGCCACAGTTGAACTCTACTCTCCGTCAGCAGTGAAAACCCCTACTTTGGCTTTACATATGCAATCAGAAAGTGTTTTAGATGGAGGGAAGCTCACACCAGTCTTAAATCTGAAATCGGAAAATGGTCGACGTATAGATCCATTGCATGCAACGCCGGCGAGGTCGTTTTCTATAAGGATTCTTCATTTTGGTGACTCAAGTGAGTCTGAGACAGATACGAATTGGGCAATACGAAAGAAATATGGGGGCAACCTTGTGTTCGACACATACGACAGGCTGGACGGCTTGGAAGATTTAGAGGAGGTGTATTCGGCGGCAGTGAATAAAGGTGGCAACCTGAAATGTTCAGAGGATGATTCAGATGAAGGGGACGAAGGGGAGGAGGAGCCCTGACGTGACTTCAAAGGGAAGTAGCTTGTACTCCCTATTTCTCTGTACTTTTGAAAATGTTCAGGTGAATTGCATGTTTGTTGTTTCTTTGTTGGTACCGTGCGTTTATGTGAGTTGGTGTTTAGTGATTACTGGGAAACTTTGTGATGTTATGGGGCTTGAGTTCATGTTTACTGAATTTGTTGCCTATTTAACATGTTTTGCATCGATGTCACCCAAATTGCAAAATTGGTGGAGGCTCTAATTGCTATTCACTATTGTTTGGAACCCAATTAACGGTTTGCATTTCTAAATGTGTGCATTGCAACTCAAATGCTACATGGCACTATAATTTTGCATTTGGGCTTACAAAATTTTTGTACATATACTACATGGCAGTAAATCAATACTTGTACTTCCATATCAATGTACATACAAAAAGCATACAAAAAGCATTAACACTTGTGTGTGTAGAACACAAAATTTGAAACTAAACCTGGCATAACAGTTCACATTTGAAGATATGCCTATTCTTCATTCATGAACTGTCCTGATGATTGGCCTGCATTAGTAGTTTCCACTTGTCCATTATAGTATGCCTTAGCTGTTTCATACACTTGGGCACTAATCTGGACATTGGTTGGTAATAGCCCTTGCCTTTCCAACCTGTCTTTGCCTATATAGTTCAATTTGAACTTGTTGCCTCCCTTGTTTTACAGTACTACTTTCATTACACATTGAAAGCTTAAAAAAACTTTGTTCAATGTGTTTGGTGTAAGCTCATTGAAAGAAGTTTTTACAACTTCAATTAAACCTGTAATATTCTTTGCCCCTTTTGATCTTTGATTGAATCAATTGCCCTAAAGAATCCCAAGTCTAGAACATTCAAGTCTGGAATATTTGGAGGCTGACGTTTTAGCTCAATGTTCCAACCATCTCGTGTCCCAATCTTGACAAAGTTAGGATCATTATCCCTTATAGGAGGGTGTGCATTCTCAGGTTGTATTATGACATGTCTGTTTTCTTAATCAGTTCACTTCCATTTGATTGTTGGGATAACTTTTTTTAGAATCATGTATTTGATGACTGGTTTAGTCACACTTAACATTGCCTTTGTCTCTAAAGTTCCATCATGTCTGTTTTTGCTTGACCTTTTGGCCGGTTCTTCATGTGTGAATGGAAATATGTCTACTTTCCCATCCCATAAAATCTCCCCATTATTTTCTAGTCTCGGCCTACCAACATCTATTGGGAACATTATCTTTGGAATGAACTTTTTTTTTATTACGCCTACCAACACCTGTTCTGTATGGATCCTCTTCTGTTAGAACAATGTAGAATGTGTTTGTTTCTTTTGATAGGCAAAATCACTTTTTATCAATGTGTATGTAATCATAGAAGTCATGAGAGTAGGAGTTGTTGGTAGGGAATGTGTGATTATATGACTCAAACTGTATTATAATCTTTTCAACTTTCCAACATATGTATGGAGTGGCTTGATAGCACTAGAATGCCTTTTGAATTGCTTTCTTTTATACCACCTACAGACTGTAGACTTGGACATTGCATAGCATAGCCCAAATCTCTTCTATTTTTCTTTTGATGCAATGATATTTTTTTCATTTTCTAATTGTCTAAGGCAATACTTTTTATGCCTACATTACCTCTCAAGTTTCTTGCACGTTTATCGCTACACCATCATGCATTTGTTTTTTGCTTTCCTCGAGATCCTGTGGACCCTTTCTCTTGTAATTATGCCCCTCTGAAGTTTCCCTAGAGTAGACATGCTCAACAACTTCTCTATTCTACACCTTCTATCTTCTTATGTTAATTTAGGCTTTCGATGTTGTGATGTTTGTCCTTCTCCCTCACTTTCTGTTTCAAACATGTTTGCAGGTGAGATGGGGACGAGTTGCCCACCCAGAGGCTGTTCCGAAGCTATTGGGAGCTCAGCTACTTCCATTTGTGTGTGTTAGTTTGTTCAAGGTTGTTTTGTTTGTAATGAAAGACTTGTGTTTATATGAGTAGTGTGTTTAATGTAAAATTTGGAGGGATTTGTGATGTTTAGAAACTTTCATATTCTTGTACACTCCATTTGGGAGGGAAATCCGAAAATGGACAATAAAGATCTTTAGCCATGTACTGTAGGAGAACTGATGGTTCTACCGTACATGAAAATGATTCATTCATTTTGTCCCTTACTTGCGGCTTCCTTTTCTGTTTTTACCATGGGTATATCTAGGTAATACTCTTGCTTTTGTGAGGGTATTTAGGGAAAGTCAAGGTTAAAAATTTTGCTCTCTTAAATTTCGAAAACTCAAATTGTGACTTTCATTTAGAAACAGAGAGAGTACTACATAATATTATGTCCACTTTTAATGTATGTGGGGATGCTTCTATTTGGCTAAGTGCAAATACAATTTTCATATCTGATTGTTAATGAAAGTGATGCTAATTGTTTTTGGTGCATTGTAAAGTTGGGTTCCAAAATAGGTTCTATCCTTTATAGAATCTATTACTCCCTCCGTCCCAAATTATAAGATACTTTTCGATTTACGATGTTTGACCGACGATAAAGCAAACAGATCCCTGTCTGCACTCAAATTATTTTTAGAAAAAGAAAATTACATATTCAGAAACTACATTAAAACCGCTACAAAACCTGCAAAAAATAATTCAAATTTCATAAAATTTTGATATATAATGTAAAAGATTAAGAGTGATTTGTGTTGACCAAGTGAATAGTAAATGTATCTTATAAAATGGGACAGAGGGAGTACTTTTTTATAATTAGAATATTTTTATTTGGACTTACCTCACTTTTAAATCAATTAGGCTAGATAAAACTGAATCAACCAATTATATACTAGGTGCAGCTATAGTTTGAGATGAATCGATTGAAGGTTAGTAATGGCAAACATTTGTATGAATCCATTGGAGAGAGTGTGTACTAGGTGCAGCTATACTTTGAGACGAATCGATTGGTGGTTAGTAATGACAAACATTTGTATGAATTAGTTCGTGCTACTTGTATACTTTTTTTGTACACTTTTGTTGTACACACCACTTACTTGCTTGTCTACACATGAGCTTCGGAACAAATCGGGTATGTACAACAAATGTGTACAAAAAAAGTGTACAAACGACTTTTTCCTAATCTTATACTCCGTATAATAAAGATGTTTGGGAGTTTGTGCTACGAGTAAAACCATAAAGACTTGTACTGCTATTTCATATGTAGTCCACTTGCTAATCTTTTAATGTGTACTGGTATGATTACTCCTCGGTCCAGTCTAATCGAGATGTCTGGATCTACCTTACTCATGTGTTTAACACAATTCAAAGCCATTGAGTTACAAAATTGGAACCCAGGCCATACAGACATGCCTTTAATTTTGTTCATATTGACATATGACATGGAGTTGCGTTTTCTCTATCAGCACGCGAGTTTTGATTAATGCTGAGTCGAGGTAAAAAGTGCTAAAAAGAAGTGAAGATTAATAATTTAATACCTCTCATTAATTACTCGTAGCATTTAGGAATACACCCATATTATTTATTGGTGCCTTAATTTAATACTCCCTCAGTCACAAAAAGTATGATACACTTACTTTTGGCACACCATTTAATAAAAGTAGCCGAATGCTAGGGTTGTTCCTTTTTTACCCTTTGCCGGGTACATGGACCGTCACCTCCGATCCTCATAACAATAATTCTACAGTTGTAAACCGATCGTTTTGTTTCAAAAACAGAAGCTGTAAATCGATCATATTAATACCGAGCATTATTATACCGCATCTCAAAATGTTAACACGTGTGATTAGATTAATTTTCTTTTGCTTGAGGTGTCCCAATCCTTTCACTGTAGTGCTCCTTATCCAAAATTACATAGTAATGTATCTCCACTTACATACCAATAACGAGCTCCACTCAATTACAAGTATCCTCTCTTATACAAAGCATTTTTCTTTACGAAGTATGAAGAGATTCAAGAAATTGCGAATCAGATTCAAGTTGGAGAAGCATAGTTGTTCGAAAAGCATTTATGAACAGCAAGATTAGTCTTTTTATGATTGGAGTTATCAACAACAAAAGATCTTTCCGGGTGTTTATCTTTCACTAAGTGAGAAGACAAAAGAGCGCCGAGTGTTGTTAGTTCAACAACAAAAGATCATTTAGTGTGTTAATATTACTCCGTCTTTAATAAAAGGAATATATTGAGACCCAGTAATCAATAATGGCACAAGAATTAAAAGCTTCGGGTTCATCAAATAATAAATGCAGAAGGAGAATGACGTGAATAATGGGTGCGCCGGAAGGGCAAGAGGGGAAAGTAAAAAGTTTAATTTGGAAAGTGTTCATATTTTTGGGACAACCGTAAAAGGAAAATGTATCTTACAAAATGGGACGGAGGGAGTACTTAATTAACAGAGTTAATCTTGATACTAATTTTACCATTTAGGCATGAAATCTTGCATTGCATGTTTAGTTAAGAGTTAGGCTATGTTTGGCGGGCATAAGTCCCTGACTTCTAGCTTTTGTACTGTTCAAAAAGTTCCTAAAAGCTTCTAGTTGTGTGTTTGACATTACAATATTTAAGAGCTTTTCAAAAATTAAAAGATCTTTTTTAGATGCTATCGGGAGTATCATCTAAGAAAAGCTAGTGACTTTTAGTATTAATTAATCCTAACAGCTTGTATACCAAAGCGAACTAAGGGTATGTTTGGCAAATGGCTTATCAGCCGGCTTTTAGCTTGTTTGACCCATTTCAGCTGTTTGATTGGTCAAAGAAGCTAATAATGATGTTTGGTAAATGGCTTTTAAAATTAGCTTGTTGAGTTTGAAAAGCTGAAAAAATGGATTGTTGAAGAAGCTAAGGGGAGCAGCTTCTTCATTCGGCTGGTTCAATTTACACTCTATCAGCCATTTCGAAACAACCAATTTTACCAAACAGTTATCTATAATCAGCTAACATAACCAGCCGGTCAAAACAGCTAACACAACCAGCTGTTAGGAAACAGCTGACACAACCAGCTAACAACAACAGCTAACAGCCATTTGCCAAACATACCCTAAATCAAACAGTCAGCTTTTCATCAAACAGCTATCACCTTTTATTTTTAAGATCTTTTCAGTCACTAAAAGCTAATAGCTATTAAAAAGCTCACAAAAGTATCTTTTCAGCTAGTTGTGTCAAACATGCCCTTAGTTGAAAACACAACTTATTAGAGCATCTCCATTCATTATTTTAAAATAAATGATTTTTCTATTAAGATATTTTTACTTGAAATGTAATTTGATGATCTGGTCTGGTTTCTTTGTATTTTTATAACTATCCAAATCTGATCTGGGACAAATTACAGTCCAAATAAAAACATCCTTACACATCATTGTCACATCACATTTACTCGATAAATTTTAAATAATTTCAAATCTTAAAAACTCTTCATCAACCACGATACTCAAATAATTAGTTTTTCTAGACCATGCATTAAATGTAATTTAACTACAACCTAAAATAATCCGGGATCCAAAATCTTGATACTCGATTTTCTTTTTCAATAATCTTCTCAAATAATCTAATGGATGGGGATGCCTTTATTGAATAAAAATTTGCTTAATCATTGAGCTTTGATACAACATAATGGTCTTTCCTTAGGGCATCACCATTGGTTAGTTTATTTCAAGATTAATTAGATGACGTGGTAGATTATTTCAAATATTAACATTGAGGTAAATAGATTATTTAGGTGGATTATTTAAAAAGAAAATCCGGTATCAAGATTCAAACCCCGGATTATTGTAGATTATAGTTAAAACACATTTAATGCATGTCATAGAAAAATTGATTATATGAATATCATTGTTGATGAGTAATTTTAAGTTTTGAAATTATTCAAAATTTAATGCGTATGAATGATGCGGCAATTAGGTGTACTAGAAAAACAAATTATTTGAATATCGTGAATGGGGATGCTCTTAGGACCCATAATACGATGTCTTTTAAACATATTTTTAAATCCATCATCATACAAGTTTATGTTAGGGTCTGTTTGCAACAGCTTCTGCTTTTAAAAAAGTGCTTTTTTTAATGAAATGGGGAGAAGTGATTAAATAAAAGTTGATAGTGTTTGAGAAAAAAGTGATTTTGAAAAGTAAAAGTGGGTAGTGTTTGGTAAAATAAGTGTTTTTTGTGTAATAGAAAAGTAAAAGCACTTTTGACGCGGAAGCCGAGAAAAATAAAAGTTGTAGTGTTTGGGAAAATAAGTGCTTTTTTAAAGCCAAAAGCTGAGAAGTGCTTTTTTAAAAGCAGTTGCAAACCAACCCTTAATAAGTGACATTACTCATACTCATTGACAATGTATCCTACAATTCTTCCGAAATCATGAGTATTTCACAAAATCCGGATTATGTATCAAACACACAAAATAAGCATTCTCATATACAGTATTAGTATGGACTAGACTTAGTAATACCATAATAAACAGCCCTAAGCCCCTGAGTATTATTATGTATATGTATGAAGGCATAGAGAAGTATCATTGTAAGGAAATTGCTATAAATAGGAGTAAAATATAGACAAATCGGACATACAGGACGAACTACGGTTATTTCAAAAATATGAGTTATTTGGTGCTATTAAGAACATAATTTTTTAAATTAGAGGTAAATGAGTCCTATCTAAAAAGAAAACAATTACATTCCTATTTAATTTGCACGCTTTATTTATATTTTAGTCATACTTAAGCTCTTATCTATTACTACGAATTAAAAATGTTGTATTCTTATAACAAGTATACTACCACACAAATGTCAAAATTAAGTAACATGTATACTACTCCGTAAGTATGTAACCAAGAAGTTAACATTAACACGGATATTTTAGGTGTCATATATTTATCGGTAATAATTACATGATTATATCTTATCACACAACAAACATGGCACACATAAAATCTGATTAATGTTAACCTTTCTTCAAGCTCAGGAAAATTTGATTAATTTATTACCGTAGTAATTAATTAATAAACTAATGGAAGTGGGGGAATTTGTGGTTAGGGGACCTGCCGACCTGGTTGATAAGGTAAAGGGCATTACTGGTAACCTTTGCGATGTTTCGGATCTTCCGTTTCACGTCGGTTCTCACGGTCTGAGACACGTCCTTAAACCCGTCGAGGCACGTATCCTCGTTGGTCAACGCGGCGCTGACCCAGGTCTCCACGTTGCTCACCTGCCACTCGAAATCTATCCCTCGCCGGAGATGCTTCAGCTCCGCCACGCTCAGCCGCAGCTCCTCCATCGCGTCGCCCATCTGCTCCACGCAGTCCTTCAGCGCCGCCCTCTCCCGTACGCTGCCGCCCCTGACTCCGCTCAGAAACTCCGACGTTTTCTTCACCCGGACGAGGCTGACTAGGACGGCGGCCTGGGCCAGGTCCCTCGGCGTCTTCACGGCGGGGCCGCCGTAGGATGAGAGCGTGCGGTAGCAGATCTGCGGGTAGCTGGCGTTCAGGCAGGATTTGCGGACCAGATTGTTCGCTGCGAGGGAAGACGCCGGTGATGATGATGAGGATGCGAGTTGCGCCGCCGGCGGTGGATTGGTTCTGGCGGCGGCGACTAAGGTTGAGAAGAGGAGGAGAGGTTGTAGGAGGAGGACACAAAATCGCAAACCCATTCGATCTGTTTTCAAATGAATCCGATTATTTCGGCAGTCCGTAACAGAGAGAGGTGAGTATATGTATGGACTGTGGAGAGTGGAGTGCTAATCTGAAGAATATGGCGGAGTGTGAGGGAGCAGGGCATTAAAACTTGGCGAATATATACAAATGATGCAGTTGGCTGCTCACATCACACTATACAAGCATAGGGTTTGGTGGGACCGGATTCTATTCAAGGGATCCCAATCCCAGTCCAAGGCTCTCGCGTTTCGATCCGATAGAACAGATGAGATAAGATCTGGCCATATTAGATTTGGATTGTTATAAAATACACAGAGACTATACATTTATAAGATCAGACTAGTTCAAATCAGACATATTATATGAGGAACTGTAAATAATGATGACTCGGGATGTTTTTACATGGATTGTTTTCTGTCCCAGACCAGACCAAACTAGTCCACACCGGATCAGATCAGACTTGGATAGTTATAAAATATACAGAGACCAGACATTTATCAAACCAGACCAGACCCGTCCAGCAAATTTTGATCTAAGTAAAAACATTCTCCGTTGAACATAGAGGTTACATTAGTGTCCATTGCGCACAAGGAGAGCCCTAACATTGAGAAGTTACTCCAATACTTCCGCTTGCGAGACTTGATCTTGGAACACTTGTTCTAAAGTTCACCAGTGTGACCAACTCAGCTATCAATGCAGCAACTTACTCTTTAAAATTAATATCACTTCTGTCACACTCAACTTTGTCAACTTCATCATCGTCATCATCATCATTATGATAATCACCCCAGTCCTGCAAAGGTTCCCACCTATGATAGAGTAAAGTGGGGTCGGATGTACGTAATCTTACCCCTGTACTAAAGCACAAAGAGACTATTTCTAGATGACACATAATGAAAATCACGTCGAAAGTTCAGGATTGTTGCTTCATAACAACAATCATATTTTTCATCCAAAAAGTAGACTCCATCACACAGGATGGAAAAGTCAACTTCATATTAGTATAAAATTAATAACTCTGTATTAGAAACGCAAAACAGAGAATAATGCCTCCCAATAACTAGTGCAAGCACTAGTTATGCTCCATCAGTAATTGGGCCAGTGGATGGTTGAAACTGACCAATATTTTTCTGTTAACTGTGTAAAAATATAGCAATTCCAATTTGTCTGCCATTATAATTATAATAATTAATAAGCACCAAGTAACAAATAAATTGTACTTCGCAAGTAGTATAAGCAGTTGACATTGGGGTAAGCCCTGTGCATTTTGGGCACCAAGTTAATACAAATGCTGAGTATTTGAGGAATTGAGGGTGCGTTTATGCTTATCTATATATTGTACATATCGATAAATCGTGATAAAGATGGACAACACGAGTAGATCCGGTCATCTGGATAACTTTTTTTTAAATTATCTTGTGAGCAAGTAGCTGTTTTTAACATATACATATAAATTAAAGTAGTCCTTAATCATTAAGTGCATTTCTTGGCGAAGGTAATTATGCAGGTTTCTTCTCTCGTGATACTCATATATATCTGTTTCCAACAATTTTATTACTTAATTACTTCACTATTAATGATGTTCCCAATTTTATTAAGCTCTTATTACTGATTCTTAGGGTCTCTCTTTCATTAGATTTTATTAATATTTTTTCCTCTCTTAATTGGGTCAGGCCTAGCCCCCAATTAATTTTCTTTAATTAATATTTATGCTTTTAATTTGAAGAGGTATGCCTCTCTTTGAGAGATTTTGGTCTGTTCCCCTCTCTTCTTGTATTTTTTTTATTATTTATGCGGTCGAGGTATGGCATCTTGTAACTTTGTTATGCCGTTTTCTCATACTGTTGCTTCGATCACTTGCTTTCCCTGTTAATCGTGGATGTGTAGACTTATGTTTAAAAACTCGACCGCAAAGTGACCCGACCACATGATCATGTCACGAGTCAACCCGGGACCTGTCTTAAAATATAGGGGTGAGTTGTAGTGATAACCCATCTTAAAATAAAAACTTTTTACACACACCATAGTATTAAAAATATAACTCCACGTTCCAAAAAAAAATATAACTCCACATTAATATTAGGATGATACATTGAAAGAGCTACTTTCCAAACAATTGATAAAGAAGTTATCACGAAACATTTTCAACATATGAAAACTCGTAGGATTGACTTGTCCAGGTTGCAATAATGAGCCAAGTAATATGTAATGAACTATAATTTGTATCAATGTATGACATTTTTGTTGTTTTTATTATATTTTTGGCTTTCGGTACGCCACTTTGGCCTAAGTGCCTAACAACTGTTGGGAATAACAGGATCGTGCTAATATGAGAGAAAAACACTTCTATTACTTTCAAGAATAGAAAGAAGAGACATACAAGCTCTAACTAAAATTCTCAAAACAACACCTCACATATCTCTCAAGGATATTCACAACTCTTCTTGGTTGTGCTATGATGATCAATTCTAATTTACTTGATGATAGAAAGACTCTCTAAGCTCTCTATTTATAGCACCAAAACTAGGTACTATGAAGGTGGGAGGAAGGTGGGATTAAACATGAGGAAACTTCAATGGTGGTTGAGGAAGCTCCCTTTGTCATTCTTGCACATGGAGGAAGCTTCATGGTTGTTGCTTGCACATGGAGAAAGCTCCATGGTTGTTGCAATTGGATTCTTCAATTTGCTTGTACTTTGGATATGACCTGGAAATTGAATTCTTCAATTCTCCCCTTCCAGGCATATTCAAAACAAGCATCCCGACTATGTCTCTGCACAGCTCTAGCTTATCCCTTGTCACCACCTTTGTTAGCATGTCTGATGGATTCTCCTTTGTATTGATCTTCACTAGTCTCAACAGTTGCTGATCAATTGTTTCCCGTATTCAGTGATACCGAATGTCAATATGCTTTGTACGGGAATGGTACATAGAGTTCTTGCTCAAGTCTAGAGCACTCTGACTGTCACAATGAACCTTGTACTCTTTCTGCTGGATCCCAAGTTCTTGGAGAAAACACTTTAGCCACAACATTTCCTTACCTGCTTCAGTGGCAACAATGTATTATGCTTCTGTTGTAGATAAAGCAACACACTTCTGCAATCTTGATTTCCAAGAAACGACTCCCCCTGCAAAAGTGTAGATATATCCTGAAGTAGACTTTCTACTATCAATGTCTCCGGCCATATCAGCATCTGTGTAGCCTTCCAAGACTAGACCAGCTCCTCCGTAACAAAGACATAACTTCGTGGTACCTTTCAAGTACCTGAGAATCCATTTGACTACCTCTCAATGCTCCTTCCCGGGGTTAGAGAGAAAACGACTCACTGTACCCACTGCCTGTGCGATGTCTGGCCTTGTGCATACCATAGCGTACATCAAACTCCCAACTGCTGAAGAATATGGAACTGCTGACATCTCCCCAATCTCTTCCTTGGATGTAGGGCATGTTCTTTTGCTCAACTTGAAGTGATTCGCAAGTGGAACACTTACTGGTTTGGCATCATTCATGTTAAACCTCTCAAGTACTCGATCAATGTACTTCTCCTGAGATAGCCATAACTTGCGATTCTTCCTGTCTCGAGTGATCTGCATCCCAAGAATCTGTTGAGCCGGTCCTAAGTCTTTCATATCAAAAGACTTAGAGAGTTCTTTCTTCAGCTGGTTTATCTTCACTGCATCTTTCCCAACGATCAACATGTCGTCTACATATAGTAGAAGAGCAATGAAAGTACCGTCTGGAAGTTTCTTGATGTATACACACTCATCCGCAGTAGTCTTCTTGTAGCCTTGACTCTTCATGCATGTGTCAAACTTCTTATTCCACTGCCTTTGGTGCCTGCTTCAAGCAATACAAACTTTTAGATAACTTACACACAAAGTTATCATTTGAGTTCTCAAAACCTTCTGGCTGCTGCATATAGATTTCTTCTTTCAAATCTTCGTGAAGAAATGTTATCTTCACATTCATTTGTTCAAGCTCCAAGTTCATACTTGCTGCCAAGCCAAGTATAACTCGAATTGAGGTCATCTTGACAACTGGTGTTTCACCACTTGTCCGTTTGCATCCTTCTTCAGCTTGAACACCCATTTGTTCCTCAGAGCTTTCTTCCCTTTAGGAAGTTCTACGATCTCATAGGTTTGATTTTTCTGCAGAGATTCTAACTCATCCTGCATTGCTATTAGCCATTTTTCTTTATCCTTATGAGATACAGCTTCTTGAAAACTCTATGGTTCTCCATCTTCAGTTAACAAAAGATATTCAGATGATGTGTACCTTGTCGATGGTATATGCCCTCGTTCAGATCTACGAACAGTAGGAACCATCTGAGAAGAGCTACCATCATTTGTGTTTGGCGGGGTGGATTGTGTCTCCCCTTGCTCTGCACTATCTTTTGTCTCCTCGTCTTCTTCTACTTCTGAGTTATCTTCCTGCACTTTGTCTTCTTCTGGTGCTTCATTTGAAACTCTAGCACCATCATTTGACTTCCGAGACATTGTGGGTTTTTCAATGTCTTATATTGTCAAATCTTCGTGGAACACAACGTCCCTACTTCTGAACACCTTTTTCCCCTTAGGATCCCATAACCTGTATCCGAACTCTTCATTTCCATAGCCAACGAAAATGCATGGGATAGTTCTTGCATCGAGCTTCTGCCTGAGCTCTTTGGATACATGTGCATATGATGAACAACCAAATACTCTAAGATGTGAGTATGTAGGATCCTTACCTGTCCATAGCCTCTCTGGAACTTCAAAGTTCAGTGATACTGAAGGTGATCAATTGATAAGATAGCATGCGGTGTTGACTGCTTCTCCCTAGAATGACTTCAGAAGTTTAGCCATATTCAGCATGCTCTGGACACGCTCCATGATTGTCCGATTCATTCTTTCAGCAACGCCGTTGTGCTGAGGGGTGCGTGGTACTGGCTTCTCATGTCGAATGTCATATTCTCTACAATATGCATCGAACGCCTTGGAAGTATATTCGCCTCCATTATCAGATCGGAGACATTTCAACTTCTTTCCTGTTTCACGTTCCACCAAGACGTGAAATGTCTTGAAGCTCTCAAACACCCAATTCTTCGTAACCAGGAAATACACCCACACTTTCCGAGAAGCATCATCGATAAAAGTCAGAAAATATCTGCTTCCACTGATTGATTCCACCCCGAAAGGACCACAGACGTCGGAGTGTACCAAACTTAAGAATTCCGATCTTTTAGCTGAAGTAGAACTAAATGATACTCTATGTTGCTTACCAAACAGACAACGACTACAAAGACCCAGTGCAGCATTCTTGTCAATGTTGATAAGGTTCTTCTTCATCAAGGTATTCAACCCTTTCTCACCGATGTGGCCGAGTCTCAGGTACCACAGATTCTGAGAGGTCTCCTCAGCAATGTTGAGGCTATCCGTACAAATCCTCAAATGAGTTTTGTACAATGTGCCACAAACATGTCCTCGAGCGATTGTCAAAACGCCCTTTGACATTTTCCAGGTGCCCCTGTTAAAGTGGTTTTCATACCCCTGTTCGTCAAGACATACCACTGATAGGAGATTGAGTCGAAGGTCTGGAACATGTCTGACATCCTTCAAAGTGATTGTGCTCCCAGTACTCGTCTTTATTTTTACATCACCAATTCCAGCTATTCCAGAGGAACTGGAATTGCCCATCTTCACTGCTCCAAAGTCTCCAGCTTTGTAAGTTGTGAAGTAGTACCTGTAGGGAGTAACGTGGTAGGATGTTGCAGTATCTACCACCCATTCAGTGTCCTCTCTTGATACGTGAAGGCATGCTTCATCATTGATAGTACAATACGCCACATCACCTAAGATTGTGATGAGCGCTTCACCACCCTTGTTCTTCGCTTTAGAATTGCTCTTGCCTCACTCCTCTAGCAATTTGTAGCAATTCTTCTTCATGTGACCCTCTATACCGCAATGGTGGCAGGTATAAGAAGGTTTCCGGCCATCCGATGATCTCCCCCGACTTTTGCCTCTGCTTTGCCACTTTCCTCTACTGTTTCTTTGTTGCTTTCCTTGTGGTCTTCCTCGATTCTCTGTCACAAGGGCATGAGTCTTTCCTTCTCGCCTCCTCATTGAACAGGGCATCCTTGACCACAGACATGGTAAGTTTGCCATCTGGGGCTGAGTTGCTGAGAGTAACAACTAGTGTCTCCCAACTATCAGGAAAGGAACTAAGAAGTAGTAGAGATTGCATTTCATCTCCAAGTGGCATTTCTACACAAGATAGTTGATTTACCAGACTCTGAAATTGACTAGTATGTTCGGCAACAGATCAAGTTCCACTTTTGAGCTTCATATTGACAAGACGCCTCATCAGTAGGGCCTTGTTCCTAGCGGTCTTGGCCTGGTACATATCTTCTAACTTCTTCCAAATGGGCCAAATGGCATAAGCATCGGTTTCTTGTGCAACATGGTGGAAGACACTATGGTCAATCCATTGTCGCATTTGACCAATAGTTTTTCTCTTAATTTTCTTCCACTCCGTTGACTTGGGCGGGTCAGGATTAATACCTTTCATCTCTATTGGATCAAAAAGGTCTTTACAGCTAAGGAAATCTTCCATCCGAGGTTTCCATAGCGTGTAGTTGGTAGCCGTGAGCATAATCATAGCTCCGGAAGATGAAGTTGACTCCTCAAAGGTCATTTTCACCTTCTAAATAATTTTGATTTTCTGTTTGAGAAAAATCGGAGCAGAATTTCGAAAAACAGGCAACACCGTTGCGTCCGGAATGACCGAAAATGGTGGGTAGGCACTTTCGGGGTCAAAATACAATTTTCGAAAAATTATAGGCCGAAATTATAATTTTTCAAAAATTGAGGGACCAAACTGCAATTTTTCAAAATTTAAAAACTGACCAGTGACGTGGCAGGTGATGTGGACGCTGAGGAAAGATGGCAGTGGACTGATGACGTGACGGCTGACTGTGCTGGGACTGCACATGTGGCGCTGACGTGTCGCTGACGCAGCTCTGGCTGGCTGATGACGTCAGCCGTCTTCTACCTCTGGGCTGCGCGCGATGACATCAGCGATGACACGAGCAGTTTTTGGCCGGCGTTTGGCGGCGCGTACAGCAGCTTCCGGTGGCCAAAAAATTCCCCAAAAATACCAGTTTTCTCGTCTCGACGAGACGAATCCAACGGTATATTCACATTGCAATTCCGAGCAATACTGAAAAACTCGATTTTTCAGACAGTAGAATTTTGTCTGAAAATATCTGGGAAAAATATCAAAAGCTCAACTAGGCTCTGATACCACTTGTTGGGAATAACAGGATCGTGCTAATATGAGAGAAAAACACTTCTATTAATTTCAAGAATAGAAATAAGAGACATACAAGCTCTAACTAAAAACTCTCAAAACAACACCTCACATATCTCTCGAGGATATTCACAACTCTTCTTGGTTGTTGTTGAACCGTATTGGGCTTGTAATTGTACTAATTAATCATTAGTTTTGTATTTAGCCTTAATCTACTTTGTATGGGCCGTGTACATAGGGCTTACATAGAGTGTATATATACTCTGCTCTGTATCAATGACGAAGGGAGTGGAATTATTTTCCATATCATTCTTATTAACTCAGATTTAATATGTTATCAGAGCGGTTATAGCCTTGCCGCACGCTCACCTTTCTTCATCACAAATATACTACGTCACAGACATGTCTTCTTCCTCCCCACGAGCAGCACCAGCGTGTATAGCTCGTTGCTATGGGAGACGATGCAGCAACAGCAAGATTGGAACCAACTTCACCTTATTTTCTGGGATCTGGAGATCAGCCCGGAAACCTTATTACCCATATCATCTTGAAAGGAGACAATTGTGTCAACTGGTCAAGAGTGATTGCCTTGTCTTTGAAAGCACGCCGGAAATACATGTTTATCGACGGAACTCTTGCAAAGCCGACGGGAGCGGCTAGGTTGTTAGACTGGGAAACGAACAACTCTATGATTGTGTCGTGGCTTCTTCGCAACATCGACCCATCGATTGTTGTTTCAATTCCATTCCATGATGAAGCAAAATCGTTGTGGACATATCTTGAAAACCGATTTAGTGAGGCGAATGGACCAAGACTACAGCAGCTCAAGGCCTCCATTGCCGACTGCAAGCAGATTAAGTCTATGTCGGTTGATGAATACTTCACAAAATTGATGGGACTTTATGACGAGCTTTACCGGCTGAAGCCTCTCCATGCTTGTACATGTGGTTTATGTACTTGCAATGTGGTGGCGAAATTTGCCAAAGACAGGGAGGAAGAACAGCTATACCAATTTTTAATTAGTATAGATGATGAAATTTATGGGACAGTGCGCTCGAATTTGCTGTCCCAAACCCCGTTACCTGATATTAGTCGAGCTCACCAAAGCTTCCTGCAAGAAGAGAGATCAAGGGCTATTGCACGAGGGAAGAGTGTTGCTGCCAACAGTCATGATCATCATGCCGCCCTTCAGGCTGATCCGCCTAAGGGGAGACCAGACAAGCATGAACGAACCAAGCTTCAGTGCAGTCATTGTAAGCAGCGCGGACATGAAGTCGGGAACTGTTTTAAACTTCACGGATATCCGGAATGGTGGGAAGATAGAAATCGCACCAAAGGCACGACGGGAGCAACTACTTCGCACGGTGGTGGGGCTAGCGCCCATGCTGTTGCCCCGATTCTTGCACCGGCTAAATCAAGCAGTGGTATTGCGGATGCAGATGACAACAGGCTGCTCACTACTCATCATGTCTCTACTCATGATTAGCTTGCAGATATCTTCACAAAGGCTCTTGGGAAACATCAATTTCTTTATCTTCTTCGCAAGTTGGGCATTTGTGATCCGCATGCTCCAACTTGAGGGGGGTGTTGAACCGTACTGGGCTTGTAATTGTATTAATTAATCATTAGTTTTGTATTTAGCCTTAATCTACTTTGTATGGGCCGTGTACATAGGGCTTACATAGAGTGTATATATACTTTGCTCTGTATCAATGACGAAGGCAGTGGAATTATTTTCCATATCATTCTTATTAACTCAGATTTAATAGTTGTGCTATGATGATCTATTCTAATTTACTTGATGATAGAAAGACTCTCCAAGCTCTCTATTTATAGCATCAAAACTAGGTACTATGAAGGTGGGAGGAAGGTTGAATTAAACATGAGGAAACTTCAATGGTGGTTGAGGAAGCTTCCTTTGTCATTCTTGCACATGGAGGAAGCTTCATGGTTGTTGCTTGCACATGGAGGAAGCTCCATGGTTGTTACAATTGGATTCTTCAATTTGCTTGTACTTTGGATATGACCTGAAAATTGAATTCTTCAACCACCTCTAGCTCCGTCATTGGTTGCAGCCTTGCAGGTGAGTAAAAGTCCCTTTGAATTCGTTTAATGCTCTTATAGCGAAAGTTAATTCAGATTTATTTGAAGTTTGGGATTTAGGGGAGGTATCTCATACTTTTGAGCATGGGCGTAGCAACGGAGCAACCTAAGCCCGTCCCATTCTAAATTCCAATTTTATTAAACTACGAGTATTAAAGTTAATAAATCATGTAAAAAAAATCAAAAATATGACCTATTGTATGATAGCGTCGTTGCCTCCCTTAATGCAGTCGAGGATGATGGAAACTTTCGATCATCAAAAAATGTACTTTTTATGATGAATCGGAGGTGAATAACGCTGGTGGTGGGTGAGTAAAGTAAATGCACCGCCAGTCCATGATGCGCGGCAGGCTGGGTTTGCCCAATCGTATTAATTTCTAGTGCAATGGAAAGACGACGTTTGTCCTCAATGGCTCAATGACTTCAGTTCACATTGGTGGAAATGTGGAATGACAGCGGATAATCTCGAATTAAGATTGGCCAAGCCCAGCATCTATAGTATATTTTCTTTTGGACCGAAATTTGCTGGTCTGGTCTGATCTGGTCTGGTTTGAATTGGTCTGATATGCTTTGGTAAACGTCTGGTCTCTATATATTTTATAACTACATAAATCAAGTCTGGTTTGGTCTGATCTAGTCTGACCTGGTCTGGGACTGAAAACAATGGAAAAGAAAACATCCATAATACTGTTTTTTATTGTATTAATCATATTTATATATGATTGGGTCCTAGTGTCCTACCTTATCGGGTCCTACCTTATCATGAGTGTGATTAAAGATTTTACTTGAAGTGTAATATATCCCAAACTAGATTCAGACCACAACATTATAAAAATACAAAAACCTAAAAATAAAAAAAGGCACGTAGCTTAGGATCCCATCTTGGTGAATTGTTGAAAAACCCACGAGCCTGGGTTGACGATGGATCTCGTATAGTATAGCGATACCCACTGAGCTAATAAGCTAAGCTTTTCCCATATGTTTGGTTGCATGATTTCTTCATTGCATTGGATGTGTGGAAGCAGCACATGTGCGGTCTTGCTGAATGCAGCTGCAGTTATGGCCCCCTTTCATCTTCTACATTAATTCATGCCCATAACCAGTAAAACTCCGTACAATAGACATATTTTATTGTATCTCATTTATTTAATGTTCTTATAATATTACAAAATAGTGGTATATATGATGTTACGTTACAAGTTAGAGAACATGAAAATGTACAATATTCGAGATGTCGAAAGCACAATTTTGTACTGTAGCTTATGAAAAGTTGATGCAAATTCGAACAATTATGAAAATTATCAATAGAAATGGAATAATACTCAATATATATATATATATATATATATACACACACAGGGATAAGGGTCAGTTTGGTCCTCGAAGTTGCAAAAAAGGGTCAAATAAGTCCTTATATATATAGAAAATTCTGTCCGGACGTGCCATTTGAGGTGGCTCCCGGTAGAATTTTTTGATTAAATGTTTTGAGCATCTTATTCATTAAGTCTAGTTTACTCATACCAAATTTCAGATAAAAATTCAATCGGGAAGACATTCAAATGAATTCTTGAAGATAATTGTGCCGTTAAAAGCGCAGTTATCTTCAAGAATTCATTTGAATGTCTCCCCAATTGAATTTTTAGCTGAAATTTGATATGAGTAAACTAGACTTAATGAATAAGATGCTCAAAAAAATTCATCAAAAAATTCTACCGGGAGCCACCTCAAATGGCACGTCCGGACAGAATCTTCTATATAAGGACTTATTTGACCCCTTTTTTGCAACTTCGAGGACCAAACTGACCCTTTACTCCACACACATATATACCTTTTCGATTGAATTTTTTTCTGAAATTTGGTATGGATGTACTAGACTTGATGAAGAACATGCTCAAAAAAATTCATCGAAAAATTGCACCGGGAAGATCTTCAAAACATGGAGGCCGCACGGCGCTCCGGTAAGGTATACCTTACCGGAAGATTTTCCTCTATATATATATATGAAAAGTAGTCTTCCCATGAAAAGTGAGAACAAATTTTGGTCTTCCATCATTTGAAAATGATAGACGGATTAGATGAACTTTAAACACAAGAGATGATTCCAAAAATTGTGCACACGTTTATACTAAAAAAGGGAAAGTTAGTGATTAAAAGTCTACTTATGTGCGTCAAAAAAGATTGTCAAAATTTTCCAGCTTGTGCACTTCTTACTTTGTACCGTATTGCACTTTTGTGCTCTACATGTACACTTTTTGACTATTCTGATGCACATTTGTTACAAAATTTTCAATAAAAATTCTCCATAATTACAAAAATGCCACCGCGTTTCCAACCTAAAAATTGACCTCTTCCATCCATTTTTTCACATCAATTGCCAAGGTTAGTTATTATTTTTCACCTATGAAGTACTTTTTTATGTGAACCAATATATATATATATATATAGAGTAATCTTCCGGTCAGGTATACCTGACCGGAGCCGCCGTCCGGCCTCCTCCTTTTGGGGGCCTTCCCGGTGGTATTTTTTGCTCAAATTTTTTTTTGTATGTTCCTCATCAAGTCTTGTTCATCCATACCAAATTTCAGAAAAAAATTCAATCGGAAAGGTCGTCAAATGATTTTTGCAAGTTAACTGGTCCAGAAAATACATATTCCGGACCAGTTAACTTGGAAAAATCATTTGACGACCTTCCCGATTGAATTTTTTGCTGAAATTTGGTATGGATGAACTAGACTTGATGAGGAACATACACAAAAAATTTGAGCAAAAAATACCATCGGGAAGGCCCCCAAAAGGAGGAGGCCGGACGGCGGTTCCTGTCAGGTATACCTGACAGGAACATTTGTGTATATATATATATATATATATATATATATATATATATATATATAGGGATGAGATCACATACAAACAAGACTTCCCATACAAAATGCAAATGCATCATGTATGTCAATTTTAGGCAAATCAAGGGCTGAAAATATGGTAGACACCGTAACATTCTGTGCAGTGCATCGCAGGGCATTAAAGTTGTTGGAAAAAAGAGAGACCCGATTAGTAAGTAAGGATATGAAAGTAATTTGATATATCTAAAGTGTGAGTCGAAAAAATACGATTAAGGAAGGAAATTCCAAAAGATACGCTAACCCCCACTACGATTCCAATCGCCCATGAATAGCAAATCAAAAAAGGAAATATGCAGAGCTCTTGTGCGAAATAGTTAATGCATCGGAGTGGACAAAGGAGTCCGACCACCCATGAATAGTTGTGACGGTCAAAGAAGGACGACATCAGTAAACATGAACGAAGGTTGAAATAGGACCTGCGATTATGGCTTCACTCCAAGAAGAACACTCCAGGCGACAAAACTGGTGTGGCGGTCGAAGAAGGTATTGTTTTTAATTTTTTATTGTTTAGATTAATATGTTTACATGGATGAATTTTGGTTTAATATGCACTGAGAGCGTTCTGTGGATGCATATGGCCAGGATAACATATTGAGTGAATGATGTGTTACTGATTATTTTTTTGTAATGTAAAAAACGGGAGGCTAGTATGCAGGTTCTCAAGAATGAAAGTGCATCTTAAGGTTCTCTTAAGTGCATTTTGGTAATTGAATATGGTGTTGCTCATTATTGTCCCCATTTTGTCAATTTGTGCATATGAATGTGATTTTTGTGTGACGGATTTGATATGAAAAATAGTTAATGCAAGGTGCAATTCCTTGTAAAGTGTGGTGCATATGAATGTGGTTTTCATGTGATAGATTTAATATGAAAAATAGTTAATGTAAGGTGAGATTCCTTATAAAGTGTGGTGCATATAAATGAGTTTAGATTAATATGTTTACATGGACAAATTTTGGTTTCATATGCACTAAGAGCGTTCTGTGGATGCATATGGGCAGGACAACATATTGAGTGAATGATGTGTTATTGATTGTTTTTGGTAGTGTAAAAAATGGGAGGCTAATATGTAGTTGCACGGGAATAAAAGTGCATCTTAAGGTTCTCGTAAGTGCATTTTGGTAACAGAAGCTGAAATATGATAGAATATGGTGTTGCTCTTTATTGTCCCTATTTTTTCGATTTGTGCATATGAATGTGGGTTTTGTGTGATGGAGAATATGAAAAATAGTTAATGTAAGGTTCAATTCCTTGTAAAGTGTGGTGCATATGAATGAGTTTTAAGTGTGTGTGTGTGTTTATGGAAGCATGTAAAGTCATGGATGTAATTTGATTTGAAAGGCCAGTAATTGAGGACACATGAATATGGTTTTTGACTTTTTATGTATGCGGGTTAATATGCATAATGTTATGATACAAGATGCAGTTATAATCTAACTAAAATGCATCCTTACTAATATTATAATGCATGAGATTTGATAAGTGCATATGCATTTGGTAGTGACATAAATTTGCTTCTATCCTATCTTTCTTCTTAGATTTTTTGGTCTATACAGTATGCCCTCTTCCTCCATGTTTGGATTCTATGGTATGCACCTGTCTATTTAATTGATGCATAACTCTTTGTCATTGCAATATTCTCAGGTCAAATATGGTTTTCATACCTTTCACAGTCTACAAATAAAGATTCTGATCGGAGAACCAAGTCTTCCAAGGAGATGACAATTTAGGAATCAAAATGTATTAGGAAAGTCTATAGAGGAAAATCTATAGATCTTGCAATGAGATGGTTGATTGAATAGCTTGAATTATCCCCGAATCAAATAAAATTTTATAATATTATTGTATTTATCTACCTATTTCATTTTGCTAACTTTTCGTATATGTTGGAATGTACATTGTGACCATGTTTATGGAAGCAGTTTTTTTTTACTAAATGTTTATGAAATCAGTTTTTCCCTACTTTTGTTCATTGTATTAGATGTTCATGTATTACATGTGCATGTCCAAATTCCTTGTTGATATATTACTTCTATGGTATCACAATTTATATTATATTAATAGATGATGCATGGTGCACATATTTCTTCTGAATATGTGCATTCATGGTTCTCAAAGTCATCACTTGCTACCATATAGCACCACTTTTTTATATATATATTAAAGACAAGTAAAGTACAACGAAAAGAATAAATGACAAAAAGAAAATAAACAACAAAAAGAAAATAAACATAAAAATGTCCCAACCCAAAGTATAAATAAAAGGATCGCTCAATCATCCCGGCAGAATTTCATATAGTACCACAACGAGACGTATTGTACAGCTCATTGATATGCAATATCTTACACTACATAAGTAAGATAAAGTAAATTGAGCTGCACTAGAGATCAAGACAAAAGAGGAGCGACTCAATAATCTCATATACTGTAACACCCCGACCCCGCAGAGTCTAAGGTAATTACTCCACATGCACACCCTCAAGATCTCCAGTACTATCCTCACAAACCTATCACATGCCTTTAATGCGCACTTTGTCCTCACTCGTGCGCACCATGAGAAACTTCTCAGGAGGTCACCTATCACAAGCACTCTCGACTTGGAGTTCTTAGCTGATGGGATCTCTTAAAAGGAGATGCACCTTGTTGGTATGAGTAGTTCTATTAATCCCTTTAAATTAATCTCAAGTATTACATACACGCCCTCCTCTACATCTGCAGAATCAACACAAAGAGAAAGATACACGCTCTGCAATGCTGAGTAAACAAGATTGAACATCAAGGGGGAAATTGTTAGAGTATTTTTATGGTGTCCAAACTTTTAGATTATATCCTTGTTCTTGTGTTAAAGTAATTTAGTTAATAGGCTGGGCCAAGCCAATATGATGTTAGGGGCCCGTTTACCTACTATATATTGTAAACTCGCTCATCCTACAAACATATATAGTCTTGAGGTTGAGACCCGAGTACTTTTCAAGCGGTGAATTAGTTAGTTTTACTCAAAAAGAAGGTTTAAAAATATGTCAAGACCTAAAACTCGAGAATTGAAACACCTAGAATGGAAAATGGAAAGAACTAAACAAGAACTATGAATTTTTTTTTTTGCAAACAATATGAACTTCCTACAATAGATATGTCAATGAATGTGGTGGATCCTGCTCTAAGAGTTATAAAAAAAAACCATAGACATCCTTCTCAAAACCAAATAAACATATTTTTTTTTATAGAAAATCTAAACCTTTTAAAAATTACGAAAAAACAAACCCTTTTGAAAGAAAATTCAAACCCAAAATTAAAGTTCAAAATGAATAACTTCCTATAAATGTGGCCAAGCAGAACACATTTCAAGATTTTGCATAAAAAACTTCATGAATTAATAATCGATGACGAACTAATCCGAAAATTGAAGCAATTCTTTTAGAAACATCAGGAGAAGAAGCAGAGGTAGATTCTGAAACAAGAGTCAGAAAATAATAAACCTCTACAATTTGATGAATTCGGAGCAATGGAGTCTCCTAGCAACTCAGAATCTAGTTCAAAATCTATTAATCTTTTATCAAAAGATCATGAAAGAATTATCGAATCAATTGATGGAATGAATTTTTATTATGCATGTTTGTATTTGTAACTAGTTTTTGTTATGTAATTATAGTAGTGGAAATTACACACTTTTGGTGTAATACTATATTTTCATAATTATTTGCAATTTGTTTAGTTAGGCCATTCTGAGCTAAAACAGGTCAAAGATCACCCAAGGGGTCAAGATTTTGGACCTTAAAAGATCAAGAAAAGTGCAAAGAGACAAGAAAGATATTGATTTAGAAAAAATGCTCTTGTACCCGGTCGGGTATAAACAAATACCCGATCAGGTATTTGCTTGACTCGAGTGTCTAAATCAAATCCGAGAGCAAATGATCATGGGAGCAATATTTGTGAAGATTTGTCACATACCCGATCAGGTATGCCGACATACCCGACCGGGTATGTCCAGAAAAGTGACTTTCCGGGAAGTTACCTCACACACTCGATCGGGTATCCTATATATGTGACACCGCACCCGAACATCCTTGAAAATTCAATTTAAAATTTAAAGTTTATGTATTGAATTTTCGATTTCCAAACAATTGTAAAATGATTAATGTTTTACGTAGCGCATGATTGATTATTGTACTGTTCAAACTCGCATATTAGTGTCGGGTTTGCAAATACTTATTTGGGCCTTATTAATGAATGTAAGAGCCCAACATTTCTCAAATAATGATACATAACCTTTCAAGACAAGTTGAGGAAGGACGGGCGGCCCAAACATTATTTTGGGCCCAACCTGCTAAAAATAGCAAGTATTCGAGAATGGCGTCCTAGGCCCACTCGGGGGTGACCCACACGGCTAGTAGTCCAACAATATGAATGACAAATGTCAAAATAAGTGATAGAATGATTGGAGAAGAATACAAATGCCTATGGTCCCATCTTTGACATTATTGAGCTAAATAATGAGAGTATGATTTTTCCTTCTATAATATCCATCAAGTAAATTATTGAGATGAGCCTACACATAGTGGAGATCAATAATGTGATGTAGGAAGTTGACTTGTTCTAAATAAATTAGGATGAGTACAAAAAGACATCTTTTGACAAAAGATAAAACAATAGGACCCATCTTCCTATTTTTGGAAGTATTGGTAGATATTTTGGACCCCAAAATGATTGGGAACCACTCCACATTCTATTAGTACCTGCAAGACAAATAAAAATGGGTGAGAAGACTTACCTTGTCTGGCCAGCATGGAGAGGAGCTGCACAAGACTTGATAGGAATCAAATGTTGGGCCACCATCACTATTTTCGCACAAATTGGTGTGCTGTTTGTCTCCCTTCATTTTGGGAGTTTTACTCGACCAAATAATGTGAATAAGGTTTCCTTGTATAGCCTTTGAAGTCTAATTTCATATTTGAGTGGTCTCTGTGCAAGAGGGGAGAGTTTATCATACGAAAATCGAGCTGGAGTGAACTGCTGTCTGTAAACTCGAGCAGTGAGAGTGTTGCGGCTGTTTGGCTGATATCTCGAGTTATACCAATCCAAATAAGGCGTGCAAGATACCAAAAGAAATATCTCAAGACGAGGAATCCGTGAAGGTCTGTTTTGCATCAATCGGAGTAGTGTAAGGCTTCCAAATCGTCCGAGCAAAACACGACCTTGCAGAAACGGATTTACTCTCCTAAAGTGAGTGTTAACCCCAAACTTTACTTTTCATTTTCCAAATGATATGAACGATTGGCGAGACCATTATACACTAATTCAAGTGTATGATATGTCCTTATAAAGTTATTTTATGTGGGTAAAGGTTGGATACTAACCTAGAGCAAATCTTGGAAAAACTAGGAACCGAGTTCGCCGGAAAACACCCATTCTAGGGGCTGTTTTCGTATCGACGTTTAGAGGTTGAGCTAGCACTTTCGGGAGGCTGTTTAACTCTCATATTTAAGCAAGGAATCAGTTCTTAACCCACCTTGACCGAATCTTTGACCATTGGATCAAGAAGGAAAAGTTTAAAGCTCAATTAAGGTGAGGATTGACATCTAATTGCTTACAACTTGTAGGTTAAGCATGAGATTACCTAAATGCCTAAATCATAATTTTTCATGGATTATGATGATTAAATATTGATGAAATATTGATATAGTCCCCAAAGAATGCAATTGGAAGTGATTTGAGGTTGTATGAATAATAAGAGACTAAATGAGTTATAAATGAACTATTTTGTGAAATAGGCATCTTTACTCATGTATATAATATGAGGATACATAAATGAATATTTATGTATTGAGATTGAATATTAAAGTTTCTGCTACATAATTATAAATATGTAGGGAATTACAAAATGAGAATACTTGTATGATAACAATAATCTTAATAGTATTGAAATACTAGTTAGTGATTATTGGAAATTGTTGTTGGAATTGATCCTAGGGATTGGATTGCATGAAATACACTTGAATACACTTCAACTGTATATAATGACTAAGTGTGAAACTAAGGTTAAGTTATGGGTAGTCTTTAAGGATGACCCATGGTAGTTTATTGATATGTCAATTCTAGGCATAGGTTTGCTTAAGAATTGGACCTTGGTGCATGGTGATGTGATAGAGCCGAGCTCTAGAATGCATGGTAAGGTGGTAGACTTGTAGTCTATGTATGGTGTAACTAGAGCCGAGCTCTAGTGCTTGCGTGGTGATGTGATAGAGCCGAGCTCTAGAACGCAAGGTAAGGAAATTGACCAAAGTGACTTGATTTGTATGGTGATGTGATAGAGCCGAGCTCTAGAATACAATGCCATGTGTTAGGGTTGGACTCCATGAGTTGTCGTGGCTTATAGTCACGGGGAATGGGAATGGTGATTTCTAAATGAACATGGGCCCACGGGCCGACTACTTGACTTTTATATAAAGTAAGTATATTTTCAAACGGGATAACCTAGGGTTACAATCATAATGTACTATCACCCTATTTGAGGGTCTTGTGTTTGAAATACTTGTTGTATATCTATTAGATGTCTGCCACACCAGTACTTTATAGCCGTATAGAGTACTGACCCCTTCGGGGGCGTCCCACCACCATTTCAGGTTGATGCTAGAGCTTGCAATTTGTGCTCGTTGATTGAGTGATTCCTCGGAGAGAACACTTGGTTCGTGCTTCCTCCATTCCATTTGAAACATTAATAAATTGCTCATGGATGTTTTACTTTAAGGCCTGCGTGCTCATGATTAGCCCTGTGTGGCCATTTTATTTTAAACAATGTTTCCGCTGCACTATGAATTACTTATTATGATTGTTTATGGATGTTATATGTGTGAATGATATTCAAGACGCCTTGTATAATATGAATGTGTTGGACTGCGGTTGATTATTCGTATTGTACGGCGGGTTGTTGACGTGTCCGGGTAGGTCCGGGGCGTGATAATTTAATTGGTATCAGAGACTTAGTCCATAAACATCATAATGATGTCTCAAAATTCTCTTTTCAAAATATTTTTTTGAAAACCATGAGCATAAACGTTTATACTTGTAGAGCTTTTGGTACTTGAGTTGCAAGGTCTCTAATTGTTAAGATGGTACCCTTAGCAATTGGTACGACAGCAATTTGAGTTAAATAATGTCTTAAGTACCAATCTGTCAATTGACATTTGATACAAGTCTAACGACTCTTTCCAAACTTTCTTTCAGAAATAACCGTGGTGGCAAGGTTACTAGGAGGATCCCGTTGGGCTGTGCACCGGTGGAGACTGGGCAGGGCAGTCATAGGACCTCTAGGGCATCTAGAGGAGCGGGCCATGGAGGCCGATCGCAGACCGTGAGCGACGGTCATGTGAGCACCGAGAATGAGAGCTACTGGTCCTATGAGGACTCGACCTATCAACCGGAAACCGAGCCGGTTGAGACCCCTTATGAAGGGGAAGATGATGATGTAAGTGATGAGGAGGAAAATGGCTCCTTAGCACGGATTGAAGCACTACTCCAACATTACCACCGTGAGCGTGAGGAGAGGAGGGAACACCGAAGGCGCAAAGCTGGGCAACCTTCGGGCGGGGCTTCAAGAGGGAGAAGCCATGGCGACTCTAGGGCCCACATTGAACCACATGGGGCCCCGGGTGATGGAGGTCCAATCATAAGGATCTCCAAATACATCAAAGAGGCACGAGACTTGGGGTGCAAACCGTTCGATGGAATGGGTGACATCTCCATTTCGGCGCAGTGGATTAAGAGGCTGAATGAGGCAGCCCTGGACATGCAACTCACCCCCGAATATAAACTAAGGGTTGCGGTGAGATTACTTGAAGGTATGGCATCCAAGTGGTGGGATGGGACCAAAAGCAAATATGGTGAGACCGTCACTTGGGAGAATTTACGACAGGAATTCTTTGCACAATACTACTCGGATTTCGAGGTGAACAAAAAGGTGAGAGAATACACCCTTCTAACCCAAGGGGGTAACATGACGGTGAGGGAACTTGAGTACAAGTTCAGGGACCTTGCCGACTACATACTGGAGTATGCTTGTGACAAGAACCGGATGGTGAAACACTTCTGGGATGCTCTCGACTTGGAGATACGTGACAGGACAACACAATTGCCTAACATGACGTTCGCTCAAGTGGTTGACCAAGGGTTGAAAGGAGAGAAACAATGGGAAGAAAGGAAGAAGAGAGACGCCGAGGAGGCGAAAAAGAGAAAGTGGGAGAGTCATGGCTCTCAAGGTTCTAACAAGAAAGAGAACCATGGAGGAGGATCTTTCCGGGCACCACCGCCACCATCTAGGGGGAACCAAGGCCCAAGTGGGCAAGGCTCGAGATCACAGGCCTCAGTGGTAACTCGTTGCAACAATTGCAAGAAGAACCACCCCGGTAAATGTCGTGACCCTCCTAGATGTTTCCAATGCGGGGATGCCGGGCATTTGAAGGCGCATTGCCCACAACTGGGCGGGGCAAGGACATCGGGACCGAGTAATGGCACGATGGGTATACGGAACCAAATCGGGGCTTCTCAAGCAAGCCGGGGACATGGGGGAGCAAGTACGAGCAACGCGCCATCCGTGAATCAAGGAAGGACTCAAGCTAGAGTCTATGCGATGACGGAGGCAGATGCTCGAGCGAACCCGGATTCCATTGCAGGTATTTATCTCATTAAAGTGTGGTATTTTAGCCTTATTTAAGGTGTATATGATTTGGGAGTTAAGGCCCGGCCACCGTAGGGGCAAAACCGGGCATTCCGACTCACGAAAACGAAGTATTGTCAAATTACTTGCCCCAACCGGCGCCGGTCCGACGCTAACTGGCGCTAGACATGCCTTGGAGAGTAGCATGTTTCGGACCAGACCTCCCAAACCGACGCACGACCTGGGCATTTTTCCAGCCAACCGGCGCCGGACACCCACCAACCGGCGCCGGACTTGCCCTGGGCGAGCCTGCTTTCGACCGGCCCTCTCCAACCGGCGCGTCTGGCATGTTTGCAGCCAACCGGCGCCGGAAACTGAGAACCGGCGCCGGACCTTCGTTGAAAGCGGCCTGTTGATGGTTCCGGATAGAGGTAAAAGTCTAGGGGGGGGGGGGGGTGAATAGACTTTTAAAGCTTTTTCGGCTTTAAGAACTCTTCCCCTCTAGATGAGTTGATCTATAATCTTTTGGGAGATTAATAGATGCACAGCGGAAATCTTTAACCTCTTGATTATCAGTATGAGACAACTTTCTAGTTTGAGTGATGTTTGGACTTTAAACAGTGAGCAGTTGGCTTGGCAGTTGCCTGGATGGCAGGGAACTGCTGAGGCAACTGCTAGTGGAAAATAGGAGTTTGGGATTGATGATTATATGGCCTTGTACAGAATGATGAGGGCTTACTGAATATGTGCTGAGCTGGAGATGAAAAGGGGTTTTGCCTGAGCAGAGGTCTGAACAGTTGGGTAGACTCAGGAAACTGCTAGCCACCTCCTGAGTATGAAAGAAGTATTTCTGAGAACTGGCAAACCAGACCTTTTAATAGTGGTATTCCAAAGCTCGTGTGAAACAGTTGTCTTAAGGAAAAGTAAGTTATTAAGCAGTAGGATAAGCAGTAGAGTCAATTAAGACTACTGCTCAGGATGCTGCTGGCAAACTACAATCCCTCTAGTGAGAAATGTTGGGTGTGTGCTCTGTTGAGTAAAAGAAAATCAACACACGATATATCCTGGTTCAGAGGTGGTGTAATCCTCCTACATCCAATCCCACCCTATTTCAGATAGATTTCCACTAAAGTATTAAGCCCAATACACTTAGTGCCAATCTAGCCTTTACAACACTCAGGCCTAGATTGAAGGTTTTTCACGATGAGTATAACACCACTCAAAGTTACTCAGTCCTTAGACTTTTCTCAAATGATTCAGTGGGGATCAAAAGGTACTCTATCTATCTAACCACACTTTAGGATCCGAACAACTATTCTCCTAAGTGTTTACAACCACTTGTGAAATGTTTCACGAAATTTCTGGCCACCAACTAAAATCTAAGCTCTAAAAATATAACAATGTATGATCTAGTCTAAGAGCTTAGTGAAGCATGAGTCTAAGCAGAGAGTGAAGTTGTGATCAAGCACTTTCTCCTTTGCTAGATATACTTTGTGATTATAGAATCTCTTTGCTTTGAACTCAATGACTTAGTTTTTGAACTCATGCCTCTGCCTACTGTTATAGGCTTCTCCAGTAGATTAATATCCTCTGTTGGTTGAGAGGATTTAATCCTTGACGTCCAAAGTATTGTACTTTCGTCTTCTTGTGTTGGAGCAGGATAAGAATTTGTCTTTGGTGCTGCTTGAAGGCCAACTTGCTTCGTACAAAATGTCAACCCATACCTTAGGCCTTTTCTTCGCTGTTCACCTATTCATTAGGTCTTGGCATTGTCTTGCAACTACACTCGTGTAGTAAAGTGTGTGAACCAGCCATATTTGTGTAGTAAAATATGTGACTTAGGTTATTTTGTACCAAGCAAATTTTGTACTGGTAGGATCTTTAAAATATCCCATTTAAGGTAAAATGAAAATTACCTTATTGCATTTTGTTCTTTCCAGTACAACTTAATTGGTACAAAATATTACAATCAAATTTGTCACTTATTTTACTGATCACTCTCTTTTTAAAGTGCCATGAATAATCTATGTATCATATAAAACTATACTGGTTGGATTTAAATATCCATGTAAGGTAAAGACAATTTTACCTTATTGCATTTTATAATTTCAGTATGTTTAATTTGGTACATAGCTTTTACATTGGTGTTTTTGTCACTTTTAGGTTTGTACAACTAGCTAACTTAACTGGTAGGATAACAGATCCTATTAAGGTAAAAATTATTACCTTATTGCATTTTGTTTTCCAGTTTAAGTAATTAGTTGTACGAATTATTTTTGTGTTCATTTGTTGTAACAAATAAATTTAACTGGTAGGATCTATAAGAAATCCTTTTAAGGTAATAAAATATTGCCTTATTGCATTTTATGTTTTCCAGTTATATTTATTTGTTAATTGTTAATTTGAACACGACACTTTCAGATAATTTTATTTGTACCGCCATATAATCTTTTGAAGGCTACAAAAGATGGGGGATATCAAAACTATGGCATCATCAAAACTATTTATCAAAATCTAGGGTCTAACAATTCCCCCCTTTTGTGATGATGCCAAAAGAAGAGTTTTAAACACTTTGTAGAATACAAAGGATGAACCTAGAGTGTTTTCCTACTCTCTTTCCCCCTCTTTTGGTAGCATTCACCAATCACCCAGTCCTTCTTCTTCTGTTTGATGATTCCCCAGGGACAAAGTTTGGGGTTCTCCTTCTCATCTTTTGATAGTCAGTTTCTTTGAGTGCCTTCAGTTTCTCGTAGTAGACTCGTCGGATGGTGGTTTTTAACATGGCAGTTTCAATGCTCTGTTCCTGAAGCCAGGGAAGAGCAAATTGTTCTTCATGTATGACGAAGGCTGCTGCTTGACACAGTTTCTCCATTAGAGCCATTCTCCACTCTCTCCAATTGAGAACTCTCCTGACTTGATTGTCAAGAGCTTCTCTTTCCTTGTGGAACAGAACTGTTGATTCCAAGAACTCAGCTTGGTCATGTTGTCGTGGTGTTAAAATTGGTTGTTGAGTGGAGGATGTTTGGCCTAGTGAAAGCTCGAGGAAAGGTTCTGAAGGCATGCTGTTTGAGGAGTTGTCGGCCATTTGAGGGTTCTGAGATTTGAGAGGAGCTCTAAGGAAGATTAGGTGCAGGATTTTGGAATGAACTAACATCTGCTTGAGAAGAGGGATTTATACCCAAGTGTCTAGATTGTCTCTTCGTTTTTCACGATTTGTTTAAGTAACCGAGACATCTTTAATTTAATGTTTAAGCGGCTAGTTCTCTTTTTAAGAGAAGTGTGAGATTTTTCATTAAATGATATTGATGATTATCATTTATGAAGCCACTTTACTTGGATCAATATGTGTCGTTCTTGCATGTATCATAAATCCTCTTTAGCATTGATGAAGTTTGATACTTCCTTTTGTATGCTCTGTTGGCTCAGAAATAGGGTGCTAACTATCTTTGAGGTAACCTTCATTTTATTAGGACGGATCTTCCTAATAAAATTAAGATTTGATTGAATAGTAGCATTCTTTTTCCAATCCATATGTGAGTCTACGACTGAGTGTTAATGAATTAACATGGTACCTTTATGTATACTGTGTGTTTTGAGCCACTTTGTTCCTCCGTCCCTCATTGATCATGATTCTTAGTTCCAATTTGTTTGGCAGCAGATTCCTCAGTTCAAACTTCTGATTTTCCTTGAGTCAAGAATTTGATTTCTCAACCTTTGACATCCTCCTTTTTGATAGAAATGGCTCTCTGTATCTATTCCTCCTTAGTTGGTGCTTGCTTGTCTGAGGCTTCCTTTTCTGGATATGCTTTGTTGAGGGCATCAAGATGGGTTACTGAGAGTTCACGATTCTTAATGATTTAGTCTCCTGCTGTTTGGATGCGGCTACCCTTGTTGCTTTACTCGTGTTTTCCTGGATGTAGCATATATGCCATGCTCAGAATGTCAGGATAGTGTAGCAGTGAGCTGTCTAGCAGTACCCTGCTGAGTTAACTGCTAGTGTACGTCAGTCACCTGCTTAGCCTACTGCTTGAATTTTGAGTGACCTTTTTGGAGTAGGTCACATTTGTAAGTATAGTGAAGAGTTTCCACTCAGCAGGTGAATAGGAGTTCCCCCTGAGTTTTAGAGTTGAGTTCCCCTTAAAAAGGTGCTGGAGTATTTCAAGATCATTCTTCCTAGCCTTTGTCGTAGTGTTCTGAATCTTGTAATGGTTTGTTTGATGTAGAAGCCTTGAGGGGTCATGCTTCATTTGGTCTTTGTAGACAGCCATTGGAAAATGCAGTTTGTTCTTTATTTGTCTCCTGAGATAGTGGCCTGTTTCTGGGAGTAAACACCTGCTGACAGACACTTGCTCAAATTGTGAACCAGTGTCTTTTCCTCCCTTTCTCTTTCCTTGTTCCAAGCTTGTACTCCAAATCTTTTTATTACTTTTGTAGCAGTGGTCTAGTGGTTAGTCGACTGCTGACCCTATTGCTGTTGAAGAGCAGTTACCTGCTGAGCCAACTGTTCAGTCTTTCATTTTTGAGAGTCTTAGATGGATTTTTCTGGACCTGGATGCTTCATTCCTTGATGTGTTTTCCTTTAGCAAGCAGCCGAGTGAGTAGCAGGCTGCTGCTTGGGCTGCTGCTACAAGTTCCCCCTCAGGTGGCTAGAAGTTCCCCCTTGGTTTAAGACTCAAGTTTTCTTTGAATGAGTGCGGTTTTGACCTGATCAAGATCATCTAACATTCCAAGCTCTTGCCATGCTCTTGGGGCTTGAATGAGTCCATAAAGAGCTTTATGCAGTTTGTAGACTTGATCCTTCTTTCTATTGCTTTAAAATTCAGGAGGCTGCTCCACATAGACTCCCTCTTCTAGTAGACCGTTTAGGAATGCACTTTTCACGTCCATTTGATAGTGTAACGCCCCTCTCAGGGTTAAAGGAAACGTTACACTAACTTACTACTTTTAAAAATAACTGCAAATAACGGCCGTCTATTTAAGAAAATAACCCTGATATATTCTCAAATATAATTAAAG